TTGCATATTTTGTCAGGTCTAATATCTTTTGCAGGTTTGGAATACCACAAGCTATCATCAGTGACCAAGGCACTCATTTTTGTAACTGCACCATGGAATCTTTGCTCCGAAATTATGGAGTTGTGCATAGAGTCTCTACTGCATATCACCCATAAACTAATGGGCAAGCTGAGATCTCAAACAGGGAGATCAAACAGGTTTTAGAGAAAATGGTGCAACCAAATAGGAAGGGCTGGAGCCGTCGCCTAAAAGACGCACTTTGGGCTCAGAGAACAGCTTTCAAGACACCCATTGGGATGTCTCTGTATCGACTTGTTTTTGGTAAGGCATGTCATCTTCCTGTTGAGATAGAACACCGTGCCTATTGGGCGGTGAACAGTTGTAATTTGGAGATGCAACAAGCAGGTACTGAAAGAAAACTCCAATTACAACAGCTGGAAGAGCTTAGACTAGAGGCTTATGAAAACTCTAGGATTTATAAAGAAAAAACTAAGCACTTCCATGATAAAATGATTTCTAGGAAGGAACTTTCTGTGGGCCAACAAGTTTTATTGTTTAATTCCCGCCTTAAGCTTATGGCTGGGAAACTTCGATCCAAATGGATTGGCCACTTTGTTGTTACTAATGTTTTCCCTTATGGTGCAGTAGAAATTAAAAGTGCAGGTACTGCAAAGTTTTTAAGGTTAACAGGCAGCGTCTGAAGTTATTCTATGAAAGTTCGGTGCCTGAAGATGTCGGTATAGAGGAGCTTTCTTTGGAAGCGCCTAACTACACTGCAACTTGATCAGGGAGTTGTTCTTTCCTTCTCTCTACTTTAATAATTATGTCCTTTCATTTAGGACAATGCTTGTTTTAAGTTTGGAGGAGGGAAACCTTTGTTTTATTTGCTTGTTTTACTATTTTGTTTTGTTTTGTTTTCAGTTATAATAATAAAAATAAAAATAAAAATTGCATCTTTTTGAAAGTTCTAGGCTAAAGACTAATTTGAGATTAGTTTGCGGAGACTTGGGAAAAATTCACAAGATCGGTATCGTCTTAACACCGTAAGTCTCCTGCATGTGGAAATTGATTTGAATACTCTTTATGTTTTAGCCTTAAATTTTCATTCTCTGACAGCTCTTGAGTAGTTTATTTCAACAGTCAGCACCATCTCATACACACTCTACGCAGGGAAGCCGATGAATATAAGTGAGTGATCAAATTTTTAGCTTGAAATAAAAAAGAAGAAAAGAAAAGGAATACACCTTCCAACGAATGTAGAGCCTTCAAAAAAAAGTTGAAAAAATTACTCGTTGTTAGTTGGTTCAGCGGTTTCTGGTGCTGAACTTGTTAGGGCGGATTACGGTCCAATCCCCCGCAACTACAACTGAGTAAGCAAAGGGTTATGCTACGTAAGTACCAGAACCCCAAACAAAAAGGATCAGAGTCACTAACTGGTCGCCTTGCTATGAGTGTGTGGAGATAACGGGCTTAATGTGATTGCGCCTGGATGAAAAAGAGTAAAAAGGAGGAAGAGTAAGTTAGGCTTCAGCATAATAACATGATTCGAGTTGATTTGTATATTCAAGAGGTTTATGACTGCACAATTATGGATTAGTGTTCCTAAGATATCCTTAGTGTGTAAGATTAGTACCTATCGACGCAAACTTAACCGAAGAAGACTTGTAGCCTGGAATGAGTAACTGTTGATGTGTTTGTGCTTTCTTTGTTTTGTTTTATTTTAATTTTGCTCGGAGTGCAAAAGTTCAAGTGTGGGGGAATTTGATCAGTGCATCTTTATGCACATTCTCCTATATTTTTACTTAGGCATTTCTTTACTTTATTTTGATTATTCTTATGTTTTATTATGTTTTTATATTTTATTTTAATTTTGGGTAAATTTGATTTTCGCACTTTATTTTTCAGCTTTAGCAGTCTGCATGGAAACGATCATAACTGGAGTTCCAGGAAACCGTTTGAGGCGTTCTAATAATCGTCGGAAAGCTACGAGAGAGAGAGAGAGAGAGAGAGAGAGAGAGAGAGAGAGAGAGAGAGAGAGAGAGAGAGAGAGAGAGAGAGAGAGAGAGAGAGAGAGAGAGAGAGAGAGAGAGAGAGCTACGACTTTCGTGTTGGAGTCAAAGTCAGATTCGGAGCACATTTTCTCAGAATATTCGTTGAAGTTACAACATTAGGAATTTGTTTTAGTTTTGGGTCATGTTTTGGGCCTGGGTTATGTTTTCGACCCAGTTGGGTTATGAACCGGATCCCTTGTTTTTCTTTTTAGGAGAAACCTCGTTTTACTGTTCATTATCATTCACTATTCATGAAAATATTTGCAAGCTTGTAAACTCATGGAGAACTAATCCCCTCTGGACGGATTCACTGTACTCAGGTTTCAAACTTTGAGATTGTTATGATATTTACAATTTAAATTCGATTCCTTTCAATTATATCATGTGATTGTTGTTTGCCTAATTCGAGTATCATATAGTATATTTGATTTAATTTGATTAATCTGTGTTTCTAATTTTAATCGCAGATTAACTCTGCTTAATTGTTAATTATCGCTATCCTTTAGCGTATGCTTAATCCGGCGATAGGAACATGTTTCTCATGATATCAATCACGCTTGTTGACTGATACTGTCATCAAATAGGATAGAAGTTCCGCTTAGGAAATTGTATTTTCATCGGTCGATGATTAGTAAGAACCGAGGCAGTGGATCCGTTACTATAATCACTTATTTCACAACAGCTTATTTCAGTAATCAATTATTTTAAGTGCTTTTTCTTCATCAGAAACCTAACCTCCCCTTATTTCATTACTGTAATTGGTTAATCACTACAAGAATCCTTGCGATACGATATTCCGAGTTACTGTCGTTGTACTGCATTTTTACAAAGTAACTCGTTTTTGACCCGCGCGCGACAACGGATCAGTAACATTCTTTTCCTCCCTCATTTAACCGTTTTTTCAAGTAGTCTCGAATGTATTTTGGTTGATTAAACGCCCATCGAATAAAAAGCGGATCCAAGATTCCATAAATAATCGATTTATTTAACACTATACAAACACGGTGAATGCACCTAAATGGTTAAAGAAAATGAATAAATTAAGGGAGGAAATATAAAAAATGATAATGTTCTATAATGACATGAATAATCAACTATATACTTACATGCACCAAACTTGAAATATCCCTACGTCCAGCCACATATATCTACCAAGAAAATCCCTTACATCATCAGGATTGTAATAGAATAACTCCAAATATGGACAATGTTCTAGCGGGAGAGGTTGCATATCATTTATCACTGCAACTTTCAAGTATAACGTGGTGATTCATATTTGTTAGGGTCCATTATCTCATTGTGGTTATCTGGAGGGGGAGGGGCTGAACAAATACTTCCTTTTGTATAAGCACGACGTACAACACTTCTACTTGGAGTTTGATCATTATCTTCATCACCATCAACATAACGGTGATAGTCATTTATACGTTGTTTGAGGTTTTCACTTAATCTCTACATCATATATTCAATTAGAAAATAAAACAAAAATAAGCACAATATATATCATACATTTTTGATAAAACACTAACATCTCAAGTAAAGCACATACTGAATATAACTCTTGAAACCTTTACATATCTTTCTCCCTTTTTTCCCTCTCCTCTTCTAACATCCTCCTTTGTTCTTCTAATTGCGTCTCAACATTCTCAATCTTTTGTCTTTGTGCATTAAATTTTGGGCTTTCGGTACTTTTTCTTTGAGACCCAAAGAATGACCTCAAGCCGACACCTTCTCCAACACCACGGACACATCCACCATGCTCATTTTTTTTGATAGCTTCTACTAATATATCATGTCATGCTTCGGGAACAAATGTGCCTTCGCGGGCCTCCTCAACTAACTTGTCTTACACAACATGATCAACTTACATATATTGTTACCGACACAATTAAATAATAAATAACATAAGTATAACAAATCATACTTACAATTTTCTCAGCAACTACTCTTGACGCCTCAAAGGTGTACTCTCCATTTGCTCTTAATCGAGCCCTCTTCCATTTCTCATGTCTTGACAGTGGAGATGGGATACGATCATCTCCTGTTTCTGGTTGTTTTTCAAGCATGATTCTTTTCTCAAGTTTCCTGTAACCCCCACGAGACAATCTATGGGAGTACATGTTCTTAGCCTTTTTTTGTATTCCTACTTCGCTTTTAACCTGTTATTAACATAGTGAAAAACTATATATGATTAGTATCTATAACTCATTAGGATAACAATATCGGTTACATAAGACTAGTACTAACCTTAGATTCCTCAAAACGACGTATCTTCGCAAACTTGTTCCATTGCTTCTTCGATATAAAACTATATCGAATCCATGGACGAGCAAGACCTCTCTTAGGCTTCCTAATATAGTCAGCCGTGAGCTGTGACTTAAATCCCCTCCAACGAGTACCGGCATAAGATATCCACTTTTTTTCAACATTGAGTCATCGGTAAACTCAAAATTCAACTACATTTAAATCAATATATAAGTATGTATTATAAATTATAGGTAGTGATATCGAATATATGAAAATTATAAAATGTAATACCTTAACGTCTCTCCATATGCTTTCTTTGACTTTATCATCCACTTGTTTCCAATCATCTATCAGTATATTGACTTTGCTACTTACAAGGAACACAACATAACTCTTAAAAGTAGAGTAATGTTCACAATCCACTACTATGTAGAACGAATCAAACTCGATCAGAATTTTTTCACCTGATGAGTTGCATACTGATGTGAATTGGGGCATCATTGTGACACCTCTTTGTGATCTTTTCGATTGAGTATCATTTGTTTGAGTTTCATTCAACTCTCATTTGTTTGAGTTCCTTCGCTAGTATCTGATGTAGAACTCAACAAGGTCGACATCTATGTTCAAAAATAACAATAACAACATGAACAACAAGAACATATACAACAACCACAACATAAACAATAACCACAACAATGGCAAATGAAGTTTATTGTAGATGCACGGGGAAAATATTGGGATGGAGAGATAGATAGTGTGATATCTGAATCGTATATTCAAATCGGAAAATACAATGTCAAAGAAAGTTTCAGTTCCATTCTACATACAATACTCGACAAGTATGGTGATATAGGTGCAAGTTGTGATTTAGAATCATATGTAATGCGTTCCTATTACATGGAATGTGTATCTTTTGTGGTACAAGAATCACAATCTTCTTCTGATTCATTGACCAAGTCCAAAGTGAATGAGTTGTTGGATATTGTTAAGGATATTGAATCTGCTCATCTTCGCGTCGCATGGTTGCGTAACACGCTAGATGAAATTGCTGAAAATATTGAACTCATTAGAAAACATCAGGATATGGAAATCGAAAAGGCTAATTATGATCTTGAAATGGAATCGTTGAGAGAAAACCTGGAATCGGAATTGGTAACATTGGCTCAGAAAGAACAAGAGATTGCTGATATTCATATGAGAATTCCTGAAATTAGAGATTGTTTGAAAAATCTTGAGCAGCTCATGTCTTCTGGATTAGAAGATGAGCAAACCATGTTGCCTATCAAGTCCAAGATTGATCAATTATTATAGTTATAATCAAATTGTTTTTCTTTTTTAATTAAATTAGTTAAAAAGTAGAAGAGGTTACATTAAACAATAAAAATGGATGCCAGGAACATGTGGTTCTTTTATTTTATGTTGTTTGATTTATGTCAATATTATTTGGTTCATAATATTATTTGGTAGGAACTTTCCATCTCTGCGTACACATTATAGGTGTAAATTTTATTATATATATATATATATATATATATATATATATATATATATATATATATATATATATATATATATATATATATATATATATATATATATATATATATATATATATATATATATATATATATATATATATATATTGTTTTATGTTCGTTTCACATTGAATGGTCACGATATGGTTTGTGGTTTGTCCCAATAGAAACTTATATAAGAGATCCATCCTTCTAAATTCAACTATGCATTTTTTTAAAGGACAAAGTCCAAAAGGATCTTATAATGGACAATATTTTATAATCTCACTGACTTAGAATTGAGTTCAACCAGAACAATGATAAATATTTCATAATCTCACTGATTTGGATTTGAATTCAACCAGAACAATGATAAATATTTCATAATCTCACTGACTCGGATTTAAGTTCAACCAAAACATTGATATTAGAAGGAGGGGTTGAGCACACATATAATGCTCATATTCTGTTTCCTTAGTTTCGATTGAGCTCAACTGTTTCAAACTAGTCAAAATAGTTCCACAATCTAAAAAGACACTTTTTTTAATGGTAAAATAATTTATTAATAAAGGAGGCTGAAAACCCCAACAGAATACAATAAAAAGTCAACAAAACATAAGGAGTATCGAGCCAACAAAGCAACTACAAGTAAGAGATCAACCAAAATAAAAGAACAAAAGAAAAAAGCATAAAGAGTGTCGAGCCAACAAAGCAACTACAAATAGGAGATCAACCAAAGCAAAAGAACAAAAGAAAAAAGTTGAAAGCAACCATGAAGAAGGAGGAATAGCCCATGAACCACCCATACAACAAACCACAACCTAACATGGACCACATTAGAGCTTAGACTCTAGACTTCCAACGTCAGACTAAGTTCATAACCAACGCCAAAAAATCACTAAGCACTAGAGTGACAAGTCAGAACTCTTGATTCGCTATTGGTTCAGACACACGATAGAATTCTAAAGGCAGTTGAAGAAGAAGAAAGAGTCCATAGAGGATCTATTAAGAAACCAACTCCAAGAAAAAAAACTCTTATTTTCCATCTATTTCACATTTGTTGACGAATTGAAAAAATTTATCATTATGAACAGACCTGATGGTCCACACCGCAACCTACCAAATCATAATTAACCTACCTCTGAATTTAGCCTTAGCTCCTAAAGAAAGAAAAAAAACACAAACACACTCATAAGATTCCTAGGTAGAGCCGTATATACCCTTAATCACTTAAAAATCGTATACCAGACATTAGAAGCCAAACTACATGTAACAAATAAATGGGAGGATGACTCAATATAATCCTCACACAAGATACACAAAGTTCTCTCTGGTTCGATAATGACCTTTAGCTTGAACATATTTTCCTTAAACGAGAATCTATGTCGCAGAAGTTGTCAAGAAAAGACTACCACCTTAGAGGGAGTATAACACTCCCAAATCAAGGGTAGAGTTGGAATCACACTGAATAAATGAGACTCAACACTACTACGGAAAAAAATTTTAACAACGATTGGGAATGATATATAACAACGCGAGACCAGACATTGTTATGGAGTGTGTCGTTGTATACGTGGTACTCACAATCACGGTACTGAGACCGTTGTTGTATTCTAGAAAGTGCACGCCATATCACAATGGTTAGTTAATCCAACTGTTGTGATAGAATCTGGTTAGCGTTCAATATACAACCACTGTTAGGTTTTATAACCACTGTCAAAACTTCCTCTGTTTTAAATATGCAATTATTTGCTTCTCAAATTATTCCCATTTTTTATCTTGTAACTATTATAACCATATCAGAGAATTTACAACAACCTGTATTTTTATTAACCATGCATAAAGAGCATAAAAAATAGCTAACATTGTGCATCAAAAACCAAAATTAATATTTACATCAAACACAATATGTTTAAGTCAAAAGTAATATTCACATAATCAATACAGAAAATAAGTCATTAGCATATCTCAATAAATCAATCAGCAAGACCCTTAAGTACATTATGGATATACGCCCAACGTTTACGAAGATCTACAAAATCCTCAACGGGGAATGGAGTTTTGCCGTTAAACATCTACATAAGAAAGAGCAAAAAATTGAATATCATGCATGATAATAATTCAATAGCCAACCTATATATTAATATATGTAAGCATTTTATGACATATATACCTTATCCCATGAATCAACAATGCCGACAAGGACAATATTTAACACGTGTTTCATGACATAATACCCACACTCGTAAGTCCCAGGTTGTTTCCTCGTCTACAAATTTAAGCAATAATGACATGAATATAACCACACGTGAATATAAATAAAAGAAACAGGTAATCAGGTCACTCACTCTAGGAAAGATCCATGAGGACTTTCTTATAACATTGTTCATCATATTCCATTGCTCCACAACACTGTACATTGAAAATGAATTAAACATATTACATGATAAACTAATTACAATGTTAAATAAAATGAATTAAACATACACTTACGAATTAATAATCTCTTTCATTTTCTTTTCTAGTGGATCATTCAAGGAACACAGTACAGTTACTGTATTCGTCTTAAATGATATGATGATCAATTGTCAATGACCACTGAATAAACACGAGTATATATATTATTAGTATTTTCTAAAACAAAACTAAATATAGAATACATAAACATAAATTACAAATAATACATACAAACAGAGAAATGGTGCTAAGTGACATTCTTTTCCTCCCTTATTTAACCATTTTTTCAAGTAGTCTCGAATGTCTTTTGGTTGATTAAACTCCCACCGAATAAAAAGCGGATCCAAGATTCCATAAATAATCGATTTATTTAACCCTACACAAACACGGTGAATGCACCTAAATGGTTAAAGAAAATGAATAAATTAAGGGAGAAAATATAAAAAATGATAATATTCTATAATGACATGTATATTCAACTATATACTTATGTGCACCAAACTTGCAATGTCCCTATGTCTAGCCACTTATATCTACCGAGAAAATCCCTTACATCATCAGGACTGTAATAGAATAACTCCAAATATGGACAATGTTCTAGCGAGAGAGGTTGTGTATCATTTATCACTGCAACGTTCAAGTATAGCGTGGTGATTTTATTTTTGTTAGGGTCCATTATCTCATTGCGGTTATCTAGAGGGGGGATGAACAACTACTTCCTTTTGTAGAAGCACGACATACAACACTTCTACTTGGAGTTTGATCATTATCATCATCGCCATCAACATAAAGGTGATCGTCATTTGTACGTTGTTCGAGGTTTTCACTTAATCTCTACATCATAATATTCAATTAGAACATAAAACAAAAATAAGTACAATAGATATCATACATTTTCGATAAAACACTAACATCTCAGTTAACGCACATACCGAATATAACTCTTGAAACCTTTCCATATCTTTCTCCCTTTTTTCCCTCTCCTCTTCTAACATCCTTCTTTGTTCTTCTAATTGCGTCTAAACATCCTCAATCTTTTTTCTTTGTGCATTAAATTTCGGGCTTTCAATACTTTTTCTTTGAGACCCAAAGAATGACCTCAAGCTGACACCTTCTCCAACACCACGGACACGTCCACCATGCTCATTTGTTTTGATAGATTCTACTAATATATCATGTCATGTTTCTGGAACAAATGTACCTTCACGGGCCGCCTCAACCAACTTTTCCTACACAACATGATCAACTTATATATATTGTTACCAACACATTTAAATAACAAATAACATAAGCAAAACAAATCATACTTACAATTTTCTCAACAACTACTCTTGACGCCTCAGAGGTGTACTCTCCATTTGGTCTTAATCGAGCCCTCTTCCGTTTCTCATGTCTTGATGGTGGATATGGGATGCGATCATCTCCTATTTCTTGTTGTTTTTCTAGCATGATTCTTTTCTCGAGTTTCCTATGACCCCCAAGAGACAATCTATGAGGGTACATGTCCTTTGCCTTGTTTTATATTCCTACTTCGCTTTTAACCTGTTATTAACATAGTGAAAAAATATATATGATTAGTATCTATAACTCATTAGCATAACATTATCGGTTACATAAGACTAGTACTAACCTTGGATTCCTCAGAACGACGTATCTTCGCAAACTTGTTCCATTGCTTCTTCGATATAAAACTATATCGAAACCATGGACGAGTGTAGCACCCCAAAATTTGACCAACCATTTCTTGCACTTGGCTTGTGTTTTCTTTGCATTTTTTCATTGCATAGCATTTGTTCTTGGGACAGGAGATCAAGGTCTTCCTGTGACTCAAGGCTCATTTTTAGGGCAAGGGACGAAACGACAAGCATCAGGAACTCTGGCATTTATTTTGCCCGACGATCGAGCGGTCGATTTTATTTTGTTTTGCAGGATGTTTACAGCCCAGAAGGCAACATTCAGGCTTTATTAAGCATTCTCATTGTTATAACATTCAAGACCAAGTCTCAGGAGTTTAATAGAGTCCAAAATGTTTGAAACGGGCAAATGGGCAAATTTCCCACCAAAAGGCGCCAAAATTCAAAATTTGAAGGTGTTAATCGATTAACACATATGGTTAATCAATTAACCAAGTCAAAATCAGGTCAAATTTGAAGTTTTGAGGGTGTTAACCGATTAACCTATATGGTTAATCGATTAACCAGTGCAGATTTTTCCTCTGCACGTGAATTTTCAATGCAAGCCACTTTGGGGTCCAATTTTGATCACTTGGAAATTCAATTTTACACTTGGGAAGGATCTAGAACCTATTTGAAATTTGGTTAATTTCATTTTCCCTCCAAA